TGTTTCTACCCGACACGGATTAGCTCGACAGGTAACGGCTTCTCACCAGAACTCCGAGAATTTTCTCACGAAGCTAGTCACTAGTGAGCACATGGCTCAGTGGTCTAGTTGGTTAAGCGCCTGGCGCGAGACTGATAGGTCCTCGGTTCGAATCTCGCGGGGTGCGGGATCGTGGGTACGCACTGTTGAGGAGTCCCATACTAGAACGAAACGGCCGTTCACTGCTTCCAGGTTTTCCATGGTGGTCTAGCTTCAATTGACTCATGATTCAAATGATTTAGTTTAGTGTATTTTTGGTCTTGAATTTATTTTAAAAAAAGTGATTTATTAGCTATTTTTCAAAATAATTTCATATAATTTAATGAATCATTGAAACTAGAAAATGTTAGGTGTAGTTTTGCCACAGATATTGCTTGGTGGTATAAATCAGTAGTCCGTCACGAGATTGAATAAGGAACATGAGTGTAGTTACCAATTCCAAATTCAACTGAAGTATGATCATCATGTAGTACTATTTCTGGTTAACTCTTTCACTTTTAACTGGCCTTATTACTGTTGGATGCCAGCTCTTTGGTCTAGATGTTAAACGTTCGCGCATGAGGCCGGAGGTCCCGTGTTTGAGTCCTACGTTCAAGATCATAGATACCCGCTGCTGAGAAGTCCCCTATTGAGACGAAACGGTCGTCCAATGCTTTCAGGTTTTTAATGGTAGTCTGTTTTACACGGACTCGTGAATTCAACTGGTAAAAAGGATTTCAAATTGTTAAAGACTTCAAGAAACCTTCGAAAAAAATCATTTTTAAGCATGTTATTGGTACTTGAAACTTTATGCACAGTACATAAATCATATAACGTAAGAGTAAACAGTAACCGTAAGCTTACTTATACCTAACCATAATTTTCATTGGAAAGGTTATACTAATTGAACGGATCAGTATCAGCGTAATTATAGTTACGATAAGACAGTAATTGTTAGGGCATATGCTAAAATAATATCAACAAATTTCTTCGCATTTATAGGATACTTGTAAAAAGGGAAGTAAAATCTATTCCATCAGCTATTTATAAACTTCGTAAACACCTACAACTAAGGGATATTGTTTCTAAGAAAGAATGAAATTGACGTAATTTTGTTTCAGCTAACTGAACTAGGATTGAGAAAGACTAAAAGATATCTTCTAGATTCTTAGGTTTCTCGATTTCTACTCTTACGTTATGAGTTTGGATCATTTATAGGTAGTTTAATTTTTCACAAGTTGAAATCATGAGTCAATTGAAGCTAGACCACCATGGAAAACCGTTGAATCCGTTGAATTATTAACCAACTATAATCTTTAAAATAATAAATATATTTTTCTGATAACCCAGTGAGAAGAAAGGTTTTTTGACATTACGTGACTTAATGTAGTTCACTTCTTTAAAGAATAAATAAACAAATTAAATTAGCCCAAGTTTAAACAGCACAGAAGAGGGATTTAACTTTATTTGAAGCGTTTCAGCTACTCGCTTCTCTTTATGGTTGGAAAAACTTTTCTGAATTATTTTAATATTTTTTGATACCAGTTTGGTGATTATTGAAAACAGCATGTACTGGTATTACTGATTTTTCAATTCTAAAGTATTATAAGTGGGTCTTTTTGTGTAAACTTTGTGTTCTGAGGTATGACTTGGGGTCTCACGGGAAGACTCTCTTATTTGAACGCACCTCAATCGATACAACCTGATCTGTAGACACAATTCCGTGTATATGCAGACTGGATCTTCTATCCTAAATAAAGCGTTTCTTAGAGTATTGCTCATCTTGTAGAAAGCTTTAATTTCGTACGTTTTCAAGAACCATTGTAATTCTTTTGTCATACCTTGGTAGCAAGGTAAAACTACTGTACCAATTCAAGGTCCTTCATTAGAATTATTGTTTGAAGAAGGACAGTTTTGCCTTAATATGTTTTTAATAACATACCTAGGCAAATTATTGAATTATATCATCTTCTTCCCTTAGTTTGTCTTCTGAAGTAATGTTCTTGGTTGCTCGTCCAAAAGGATTCAGGGCTAGGGAAATTTTTGTACCAAATGTATGTGCAGAGTTAAAATCAATATACTGACTTGAATGTGCTAGTTTTCGGTATGTGATTAGATTGAGACTTCAATTAAAGTTCCTTTTAACTAAACAGTCCAAGAATGGTAGCTCACTATGTACATCTTCCTTTTCGAAAGCGGGTTTGATGTTTTCTAAGAACGTGTTCATCTGTTTGGAGAAGTTTCTAAGGGGAGTCTTTTTATTCATGACAAGTTTATCATCTACATATCTGAATCAGAATCGTGTTCTGATGGTACTGACAAAAATAAGCAACTCAGAATGGGACATAAATAAAGTAACAACAATCGGAGATACTGGCGATCCCATGGCTACTCCAATTGTTTGTTTATATAAAGTCCCATTGAAAGTGAATAGTGTTAAATTCAAGCATAGCTTGAGAGATTTCATCATTGAACTATTGCTTAATGGACACCTATCAATTGGAATGTTAGTGTGCAAAGATACAAAATCACAGCTTATCACTGTTCTGTTCTTGCTGATGCATAATGGCGAGATCTTTGATTTGAGTTCATATGAATACTTTACGACATTAATTAGGTTATGCTGAAGTGGTTTCAACATACTACCTAGATTTTTAGATTAAGTAAATGTGGGAGTATTCGTTAGGTTCACAATGGTCTTAAAGGATAGTTAGGCTTGTGAATTTTTGGTGGCCCATAGAAACGAGGTGTTCTGTTAGATTTAGAGTATAAAGTATATTGTAACGAAACGCCAATATAAGGCTTTAGTTCTTCCAGAAGTTTAATTGTTTCTAATTTAAATTTATTTTTAACCACTTGGAGATTTTTCGACTCAATCTTTACATTTGGTCCCGTCGATAGATGTTAAAGGGTTTTTTTCTGCATAGTCGCTTTTGCTCATGACCACTGTTGTACTATCTTTTTCAGCATCGGTAATAACAATCGTTCTATCCTTTTGTAATGTAAGCAAAGCTTTCCATTCTTCTTTGGAAACATTAGGTGGAGGGGATATTCACTCCGTTTAGATATGAGATGTTTTTTACGCAATATGTGCGAATGTGCATCCAAACGTTTTCCAAGTATCGGTCTTAGAACTGGGACGATTAAAATTTAGTCCATTTTCTAGTAGAGTGATTTCATGACTAGTCTATACAGTCTATAATGATAATATTGAATTACGAATATATATATTTATTTCATGACTCACTAGGTGTTCAGTTGAAGCTTGAATATCTAAATGGTAACTTCTCGAACCGTTAAGGTGGGTGACGCTGGTTCAAATCCCATAGGGAATATCACTTTCATCAAGATTACATGCATGTTTTGGCCGACTAGCGCCAACTACTGTGGAGCCTAGATTTAGGGGTTCTTGTCAACTAACTCTAGCCACTCAATGGTTAACTACCTTTTATTTAATGTTGATTTTGTATTCAGATACTGACCAAATAAATCAACGTAAAGTCACGACACGGATCTACTGGGAAAGAAATTTTTTCCTCATTCAGTTTTTTTACTTTTGATGTTTAAATTGGAATATTTAATATATTGAAACTATAAATGAAACTAAGAAGTTTCAAATTACTTAGATCTTAGTTAATTATAAACATTATATACTATGGTTATATGTAAATACAAAAGTGTAACCTAAGGATAATCAGTGAAATCACGTATTTATTTCTAACAAGGTTTAAGAACTTGTCTAGACAGTTTAATATTCATTAATTCACTTCTAGTTGAATCCTGACATTTGAACAAACTAATTAAGCTTTCAAGATTTCATGTCATAACACGATCTAATAAATAAACTTTTGATATTCTTTACTTATAGTAGTAAAGATTAATTGTCTTCATGCTGACTATTATTACTAAATCTTATTAAAATAAAAACATTCAATGCTATTTGGATTCGTCATATCACTGAATTCACTTATTAATTAATTTGATAGAGTGAAAAAAATGCTAACGGATTAAAACATGTTCTCATAATTCAAAAACAAATATCTGTATTATTTTTGTTTTATTGAAAAAAACAACATAACTGTATGAAGTCTTATAGTAGTAAGATAGATGAGATACAAAACGTTGTAGCATTTTTTCGATTGAGATCATGAACTGATTGATGTTAGACCACCATCGAAAACCTTGAAATACTAGATGGTCGTTTCATCCTATTGTAGGACTCCAGCAGTACGCATCATACGATTCAGCCTCGCGAGCTTCGAACCCAGGACCTATTCGTTTCGCGCGTGAACGCTTAACCTTTAAATCACTGGGATGGCTGGCATTCAATGGTGTCAATATCTAACCATCATTTTGTATAAGACGATATCAACGTTTTCATGTTTTATCACGTACAGTTATTTATATTATTAGATTAATTTCAATAATTTCTATACATATGTAAGTGTTTGATTTTTGGTTTGTTAGTCAGTTAGTAAATGCATAGAACCATAAAATTGACTTGGGTGGTTTAATAACTGATCGACTAGTTATTTCTCTTGCCTGTTTTTAGATATTAGATTATTATAGGGGGAAGCTTTGTTGTCAACTATGTGACACACTGTATATATGTACGATCATCGCAGATATAATCTGTTAGGTGGTTGAAAGTAGACGAATAGTGACCACGGAACTTGGTTTCATTCCAATTAGTAGTTGTCAAAAAAGTGTATGTGTACCCTTAAGGCAACTGATGCTCCCTGTGGGACTCGAAACCGCGTCGCGCAACTTTAAAATTTTATTTCTATGCAATTGAAAGGGGTTAGGAAACGATGTTTTACTGGCTGAAGGCTAACTTCAGAAAATAGTTAAATATATTCATAGCTTTACGTTCCTTAGTACTCATTAACTATATTGATTTTATTGGCAAACATAATTGCATTTGATATGGATGCATGTATGTATGCAATAGTTAGCATCTTTCTTTGTATTTATAAACCCAGAATTATCTATGCCGTATAATCCTTGTCAACCGAATCCATGCCAAAACAGTGCTAAATGTGTAAATATTCAAGATTGGAGTAGAACAACATCATTGAAGAAATTCAACACTTTGTCAGACTATTACTGTGTATGTCTCAAAGGATGGACTGGACAAATTGTACGGAAGATATTGATGATTGTGTTATTCATCCTTGTTTAAATGGCGGTATTTGTGAAAATAAACCAAATATGAGATTTTATTGCCATTGTCCAACAGGATATGTTGGTAAGCAAACATTTTTATGAAAGTATTTGAAAACGCTTGTTATAGCTATATTTTTCATTAGTACTCTGGTTTCATTAAAAAAGTTAGTTCAGCTTGTTAACCTTCGAAATATTAACTAATAATTCAATGAACATCAAAGAAGCTGATAACAGAAGTATTGTATAGTGATTCATGATTGTGGAATATCAGACTAGATGAAACTTATGCTACTCAAGTGATAATTGTCGTGAAAATATGCTAAGCGAATCAAAACTCTAAGGCTGATAATTGGACAAACCTTGTTTTTTAGTTGGAATTTTTTAAAGAAAAATATCTTTTAAAAGATTTTATTACGAAAGATAACAAATAAGTAAATAAAGAAGAAGTGAATTGAGCGAAGAAACTTCTTTTCAATTAGTTTTTCATCATAGCCCTACACTAATATAAATATATATGATTTACAATAATGAAATAATACTCATCGAGTGGATACGTTACGTAATAATTACATAATGACATTTCTATTATAAATTAACATTGAGTAATTGGAAGAAAGAGGATTAATAATAATCAAAGTAATATATGCAAAAGAGAGAAAGAACAGAATTTTTTAGTGGATGGTCAATAGAATAGTAGTTACGTAAGAATCAAGAGATGAATGTTGAGAAGTTATAAAGTTCAAAAGTAACAGAAACAAAATTACAAAAGTAAAAAAATCAAACCTGTCCTTTGCTTATCCATGACGGATGATGTTCTGTAATACGATGACGGACTTGCCGAATTGTACGCCCTATATAACTGGCTCCACAGGAGCAGTTGAAACGAAAAAGGATTAAAAGTTCTATTCTCTCACTTGGTTGATACAGGTCATCAAGTCGAATTGAATAAAGCTTTTAAGGTTATCTACAATATCCCATCTAATTTGCCACATGGTTTACGAGTGCGCCTCTTGCACATTGCGGAAGCCATCGCAATCCATGTTCACAAACCTGACCTTTGCATTCAAAAGAGATTCGTACAACCACTTTCCCTGCCCTGGCCATCAGTTTAAGATTTCCTTCAAAAGAACTATTTTGCATACTTCTTCCACTTGTTTTTTGTTTTTATTTTTTTACTTTTGTAATTTTGTTTCTGTTACTTTTGAACTTTATAACTTCTCAACATTCATCTCTTGATTCTTACGTAACTACTATTCTATTGACCATCCACTAAAAAATTCTGTTCTTTCTCTCTTTTGCATATATTACTTTGATTATTATTAATCCTCTTTCTTCCAATTACTCAATGTTAATTTATAATAGAAATGTCATTATGTAATTATTACGTAACGTATCCACTCGATGAGTATTATTTCATTATTGTAAATCATATATATTTATATTGGTGTAGGGCTATGATGAAAAACTAATTGAAAAGAAGTTTCTTCGCTCAATTCACTTCTTTATTTACCAAATGGCAAAATGGGAATTTTCAAAATAAGTAAATGATAAGTTCCAAAAAAGTTCAAATCCTACTTCGTCACTAATTATTATTCTAAAACAATTAGTCCCTTTGATAAATTTCGATAATGCAATGAGAAGACGTAGTTTATCAGAATTATGTGATATATTTGCTCAATACATTTCGAACACCATTGGATGCCGGCTCAGTGGTCTAATGGTTAAGTGCTCAGGCGCGAAGCCAGTAGGTCCTGGGTTCGAACCCGCGGGGTGCGGGATCGTGGATGCGCACTGCTGAGGAGTCCCATACTAGGACGAAACGGCCGTCCAGTGCTTCCAGGTTTCCAACGGTGGTCTAACATCAATTGATTCATGATCTCAACCAAAAACATTTCGAACAATCTGATCACACATATACTTGTTAAGAACGTTTATATATGAAAAATTAAAAGGTCAACTAGACAGGTTAAGGGTAAGTCATAACAAAAGGAAAAATATTAAAGTACACAAAAACAAATGTGATTACCACTCTGGATAGTAAATCAGTACTACCAGGGTAGGATAAGTGTAAGTACAAATTGTTTTTGAACACATAAAGGGGGTTTCAATTTTCGTATATCCAAGGCTCCAATAAACCTTAGTATACGTCCTTGAAGGCTTTTGTACAACACAACAAATGCTGATTTGATATCAACCTTATGACCCGTCTCAATCAAATGTTTCGCAATGGGTGACGACGTCTGTCTATCCTGTGATCTTATTTCACCATTGGAATTCATCTGATTCTGCAACGATTTTGGTATATGTTCACCCACCCTTAATTGCAAATCACGATTGCTCCTCCCTACTTACGTGTTTGCACACATACATGTAAATTGATAGACACAATGGGATGTGACACAATCGTTTTCATGCTGTTTTGGCTTTTGGTGAAATATAGACCTTGTCTTTTCGATGATGACAAGTTGGGCTTCATAAAATGTCTGATTGATAGCTAATTTAATTATCCGTTTCAACATGAGACTATTTGTGTCACCTCTGAATGGTAACTTAATATAAACTCGCTTTTTTGGGTGCCAGAAGCGTCATAGGTCTAGTCGTATTGCAACCCTTCCAGCGGTTTATGAACTTCAAAGAATAACCATAATTCATTAACATATCAGTAAAGAGCTTCGTCTCTACTTCAATAGTATCACTAGTACAAATACGATTGATTCTATTGAATAAGCTCTTTATTAAACCGCGTTTGTAATGAATGATTATTATTCATTTTTTTAAGAAAATTTCTGAATCTAGTTCTCAATTCCTTGAATATCGTTTTAATATGTTATTATCATCGAATAGTCAATAAATAATAGATAAAAGCAATAGAATTTTTCATCCATTTCAAGACTAACTACAATAATTTTTATTCAAAACTCATCAATTTCAGAAATACTGCAAATGATATGCATATAATTCAAATGATTAACCTTATCCAAAGAAATACGACCTAGTATGATTCTATTTGTTAACACGCTAAGCTATAAAAAACTTTCATTCAGAATATGAAACTAAGGGATGGTGTTCATTGGCCAAGTGAAATCCAACAATTACTGTGAAATTCATAGATATTATTAGTTTTTCATAACAAATAACTTTATTCTCAAATGAATTCAGTTTACTTCAAATAACTCCCTATGTTCATTTATTAGGTCAGACTTGTGAATATAGAGATCCATGTCAACTTAACCCTTGTTTAAATGGTGGAACATGTCAATCTGATCCATTTGGTCAGTTTACTTGCATTTGTCCTCATTGGTACAATGGAATACGCTGTGAACAAGTAAGAAAATAATAATTAATGGCATGCAATATGTGTTCATGAAGCTATTCAATAATAATACCGATGTTCATGGCACCTGAACGTTTTATCATTTTCAATTAAGTAGTTAATATTCCATAATTCATCTTTTAGTACTTATCATACTCAATAGATCTACGTTTTCTTGAGGACACATAATACTTTGATATGATGTTATAACCCCATACAGGAAGATATCCAGAAACTTTTAAGCAAAAAAACTACTCTGAAATTTTAACAAATATCACTATTCCAAACAATTAAGATGTTTGTTTCCAATTTGAATGAAACTGCGACTTTTTTTTGTCTTAATGCTGTAATGTAATTATAATACAATATAGATCTAGGTTTTACCAACTGGTATATCATATAGTACAAGTGCTATCATTCAAAACAAACATCAAATCTGAAGTTTTATATTTCAGCTGCTTTAACACAATTTTCTTAAGAATAATATTTCCCCTATGACTATATATATATATATATATATATATTACTGACGAGCATCTGATAAACAAGTATAACTTCTTATAAAAAATGATAAGCTATCAACTTTATATATCGTTTGTACGATCATCTAACTATCTATTTAAGCAAAGATGGATAGTGGCTAGCAGTGGAACCTAGGACGCGCGTTTCGTCCTATTCGGGACTGGATGTACCTGCATTGGAGTTGATGTTCACTCCGGACTCGAACTCAGTACCGTTCGCCTCAAACACCATGTGAAGATACAATTAAAACAACACAAACTGAATCTAACTATCTACTTTAAAAACTTATTTTAATATGAAGACAAGTATTCCTAAATCAGAAGTAATATTACAAAGTGTAGGAATATAAATAAATTGAAGAAACTCAGTTCAACGTAGAGTTTACTTTACAGAATGATTACATAGATGTAAATATGTAAATGATTTAGCAACTAAACAACAAAAAGGGGAAATTTAAAGCTTAATTGAAGGAATTACAATACTGAAATCATATGATACATTTAACGTTTACTTAACTTTACAAACTTTTATTTACACCCTTGCTATACTATACTAATATATCTTCAATATAACTTTCAACCAGACCCTTTCATGCAAGTAATTTAAACTCATTATTTAATTATGATTTTAAATATCACAGGTTGTAAGCAGTTGATGTGAACCTACGAAATAAAATGAATTCATGCTATTCTGCTAGAATCTTTGTTTTTGCTCTTTTCAAAATGATAAAGGGAACTATGTGTATGAAAAAGAATAAGTGCAAAATTATTCATACCTTATATTACTACTGTGTAATATACTGGCATTTCATGACAATAAACATAGTACTCTTTCAAAAACGAAAGTATTTCTTATTTATTGAAGTTTTAAAAGTATTAAGTAAATGCTCTGAATGTTAACACAAAACACCCCTGATTATTGTTGTTGTTAACTTTAAAACTGTAGTTGAAAGAATTATATATATAGACCTAATACTTGAAACAGGGTGACTAAATAAACATAGAGGGATTTTGTGGAGATTGTAGTAGTTTGACAATTGAATTCATAAGTCAATTGAATCTAGATCAACATGGAAAACCAGGAAGCACTGGACGACCCTTTGATCCTAGTATGGGACTCCTCAGCAGTGCGCATCCACGATCCCTTCCTGCGAGATTCGAACCTTGGAGGAGTCCCATACTAGGAGTGAACGGCCGTCCAATGCTTCCAGGTTTTCCATGGTGGTCTAGCTTTAATTGATGCATGGACCAAATAAACATTTATTTAAAATGCATCATCTAGTAAGATTTAAAGTTGATGCAAACATCAACATATATATATATATATTTATTTATTTAAAACCTTGTTAAATAAGTCATACATATGTATTCCAATGTTTTATTAATTATTCATTAGGGATAAACAAAATAATCATGGTTCTTGTATTTCTTGTTATTGTGAAAAATATTCCTTCATGATAAGTACATGAACTTGTGTTATGTGAATAAAACCTAAATTCGAAATTTCTGTAGATGGGTTTGTCACTGAGATGGTAGAGAAGATTTGTAGCTCAGATGGATGATTTTAATGGAGTCTTGTTCTCTGAGCTGGATGGTTTGATCGTGGAGCTTTGATTGTTTTCTATAAGACATCATCAGCACAAACTTCAGGTAGAAGTCTTCTTATAATATCGTTCAGAAAAACAATCAAAGCTCCACGACCAAACAATCGAGCTCAGAGGACAAAACTCTATAAAGAATATTTGTCACTGTTTATTATTGAATTTAAAGTGAACTTAAAAATATCTGACAAAAGTTTTGGAAGAGAACAAAGATTTTTTTGGCAAAAAATAAGATCAAATATATTTTATATCTGATGTAATTTAGGCTCAGATAATGTTATGATAAGATTGAGTTTATCAGAGCTATGAGATATATTAGAGTAAAATATTTCACAAAGTTTGATCGTATATAAGTTTTCAAAGACGGTCAAATATAAGAGATAAAAAGCAAACTAGACAAATTAGAACATAAGAGAAAACAGTGATAATCTGAAAGAATTCTATGAGTACCACCAATCTAGAAATTAAAATTAAATCAATATAATCAGGGTTGATTTTGTAGGAGTATGAATCGCTTTTGAACTCACAATGATGTCTAAAGCTTCAAAGATCCACATATTCTCTCTAGACAGTTATTATATAAAAAAATACAAGATATGAGTTAGATTAATTATATGGCCCATTTCAACTATAAATTTGACAATCAAGAGTGGTGGATATCCGATTATTTGCATTCACTTATCTTTGTAACTGCATTAGTACATGTTAAGCCATCCTCACTCTCAAGTCATGATTATCCCTTCATAAGTATCTGTGTTCACATACAACCGTAAATTGTTAAGCACAGGAGGATCCAACACATTCATTAACATGTTGTATAGTTTTTAGATGAAGCATAGGCTATAATGTCTTAAAAATAATTATCTTGGTTCCATGGTAAGCCCTAATAATAAGTCAATAAAACCTGCGTCTCCATAATAAACTATTTGACTCATCTTTGAATAAAATGATGATGTAGATGGACGTGCAATTGCCAAAAGGACATTAGTTCTCAACCTACTACTGCCTTTTGATCAGATAATGCATTTTAATTGACATTCATTCTGAATGAATGGTTCATTTAACATCTTCACTTTGGATTCTATAGCAACATTTGTAAAGACAAATCAAATCCCACTGAATATCCGCTTATTCAACCCTCGTTTTCACTATACTACTCAATAACTTTGAGAACCAAGGTGCTGCCTTGCCCTTGTAGGCTTTATACGGACAGAAGATATTTTCAGTTTGGTCCCATATTTTGCTAATAAAAGTACATGTTATTGATTATATTTTCAACTAATTTTGCAACATATACGATTAACACGTTGGCTGGCAACGGTTCCAAGACAATAATCGCGGCACCACCACCAATCTGTATTTACCGAAGACTATTGAAACTAACTGATATTACTTTATTTACCACAGAAATATCAATGTAGTAGCATTTTATATTTGCGTTATCCCGAGATTTATAAATAAAGGAACCATACATTTTGTGAATAAAATGATGTATTTGTGGACAAAGCTTACTGTGTAAAGCTATTACTGAAAACTAATGACTAACCGTAATTTATGTTGTTTTTTATTTAACATTTTGATACAGGAAATTAACCCATGCTATCCTACATCTCCGTGTTTGGGGGAGAAGTCAGTTTGTCATTTATTGACTTCAAAGAATAGAACAGTTTCAGGACCATCGTATTCTATTCATAAGTCAGAGTATATTGTAGATTTTCTATGCGAATGTGACCTTAATTATTTTGGTCGTTATTGTGATAAGAAGCGAAATTCATGCAAGTTTCATAATTGTAAAAATGGTGCAACTTGTTTACAAAATAACGATCATTTTGTTTGTCTGTGTCCTTTAGGTAAGAATATTTCTGTGTCCTTATCTCTGTAATGCACCGTACCTAATGTCTTTCCGTTTTTATAATCTAGATGATAATATTAAGCTTGCAAATGTATTCGTCAGATATTCGATGTACATAAGTTATTTTAGTATCAGGAATCCAATAAATTGACTGATTAAGAGAACAAATATCACAAGTATTTATGATTGAAATCACATTGTTTACTTATACTGTGCAAATACAGTTGTAAATTATCCAAGAGATTGTAATGAACCAACAGTAAAATTCTGTACTGAGCCTAAAATGAATGGAATTGTAACTGATCCCGAAAATCAATATAGTGTATTATTATCCGAATGTACTGAGTTTATGCTAGCAGGATGAATTTTTATCAAGGACGTTATTATTTGAAGAACAGCTGAAGACCAGAAATCACTATACAAACACTTACGTTTTATAACTTCTTCGTAGTGCAAATTCTTGATTGCGTATGTGGTCAAATCGAAAACCAATTTTCTTTGTCGATATAATATTATACAATCCTAAAGCTGAGATTTATTCAACTTAACAACGAAAATTTGGTGAATTTGTGATGTAACGTGACCATCGTTCACTGTTATCCGTTCGAACGTTTTTAATGTAATAAAGTTCTATTTAAATCAGTATGTATTAAGAATTCTAATTATTCAAAAAACAAGAGCCAGTGAAAATATTTAATGCTGCACAATTTTTGTTTGTCCTATAATGAATATGATTATATTGAAACGATCTTTGAATTAACTAATTTTAATTAATGGTTCCGCTAATGATCATTTGATTGACTTACGATTGTTTAGCAATTTATCATTTTCAAAATTAAACGTTCAACGTTTTTACAGAGTTGAATTGGATTTTAACTAGTCCAACCTGTTTTGAATAGTGACGTGTAATTATTTAGGTGGTTAAAAACCCATAGGCATTATGTTCATTCAGACTTATGTATAGTGGTATGTCTTCAATGAAAGAGAGATTAATGATCTTACATAATTCATAAATACGCTATTCCTCTCCAAGCAATAAATTTGATGAATTATTATGAACAGAACAATTTAGTTATAGAGCCTTCTAAATCTAAAGAATTTAAGTTTGAATCTCAAAGATAAAATTAAGTTAGAATCTAAGAGATACATCTTTCTGTTGAATATCAATAACTGTGATAAGTGGTTTAGCCGCTAGTCAAATTGTTATGGCATAATATAAATTACTCTGTTTACGGGAACTATGTGATGTTGAATACTAATTTATAAACTTAAGACAGGTCTTATTCCCTACCTTCAGTTGTCAAATTTAAGTTCAGTAAGTGTTAAGTAACTTTATTTCTGTAAACAGAAGTAGAAGGGAACGATGTGTATATATTGAACATTGGAAAGTATAACAAAGAGCTAAGACTAGATGTATCTGGGTTTCGTAATTTAAAACTAATCAACATTTCCTTGAACATTGAGTCAGTCAGTCGGCTACAAAGTAGGACCAGACACATATGTACATCGGTCCAAGTTGCCATACCTGATTAGCACAACGAAATGAACATCGGATTCATAGAAGTAGTAAATTCAATGGTGGTATGATATTAAAAGAAACATTGCATATAAGGAAATGCCACAGGAAGAAAGAACTAGTTCGTAGAAAGAAAGATATGAAGCAATTTTAATCTTATAGTTTGAAGGAAGACAGAGAGTGTATACACCTACGCCATTGTGATCGATTGTGAGCCATGTCACCAAGACTCTCCAACTATTGATTACGATAGTCACGTGGACCCCAATCAAGTAGTCTGCATCAACCAACATGCCTAAGACTAGAAGCTGGTGACTTCAAGCACTGATGGCACGTTTCGGTTTGACCGTCCCTAACTTTCTTCCAACCATCCCCAACACTAGTATCAGCATTGCGTGTCGTGGTAATCGGTGTTCAGGTATACGTAACACGTGGCCCAACCATCTAATTCGATGAAGATTCACAACCTAATCAAGTGATTTACCATCATTCCCTAATACCCTCCATTTAACCTCATTATCACATACCTGGTAATCCCAACAGATGTGAGCAATATTTCTAAGATATCTGTGGTCGTAAACATTGATATCTTGAATAAATCAAACAAATAGGTTCCGTTGAAATAGTTAGCAGTGAATAATATACAAAATGCTTATAATATATACCTTTTTACTTCATTCAATATTCATTGTATATTCAAGAACTATTTATTTTAGGATTTACAGGACCAATCTGTAATACACCTACAAATAGAACTAAATATATTTCTTCTAATATAAATACTTTAATTCATAATCAATCAATAAATATGAATATATTCAATAAGAATCTAACAAATAATCTAGAATTATTCAATGATTATTGTTATCAAATTGGATGTAATAAAGCAAAAATTGGTGATAATATATGTCAAGCAAATTGTATCTATGCAAATTGTATAAATATAAAAGATGAATTAGAAAATGATTGTCAATATTGGATTAATTGTTTACAAACAACACAATATATTATAAATGATAATAATAATAATAATAATGATTATATTCAAACAACATGCGTTGAACAATTTAAAAATGGTAAATGTCAATCTGAATGTAATAGAAATGAATGTTATTTGGATGGTTTTGATTGTTATGATAATATGTAAGTGGATTATTTGATCATTTTTATATGGTAAGAGTATAATTTATAGACGAACCAATCAGGTATTAAGATGATATATATGGAATTTTGGCGTGAAATTCACTCATCCATTTGGATAAATAAACTTTTGGCATTATAGATGATATTAGTTTGTGATGAAAATCTGAAATTTAATTACTAAACTTAATCATCAGCTGTAAATTCTTATTCTAATTCCTTATACAGGTTCATAACTCTCATTTGATCCTGGTTATTAAGTGGATACATTCAAGATCAGTTTAACATCGCTCAAAGGTCGTCCATAAATTATAGTCTTACCATTTTACATTTAATTTACAATATTTGATTTTTAAATTTCCATTGATTTCACTGATTCATTGAAGTAAATGTAGTAACATGCACTTAAAGTGTTACTTTATATAGGTGAAAGTATTTAGTAGCTTAAATTCTTGTGATATTTATTAGGTGACCATAATTTCAAATGTTTTGTTAATTGGTGGTTCGAAACATTGTTCCAAGGTTTTTTTTTCAAATAGTAATCTTGAACAGTGAATTTGGTGATGAATCATTAATTTCTACACGGAAATATTGCGTAATATCTACAAGAAATTTTCTGATATTAATCAACATATGCTCATTAGTGACTGGCTTTAACAGGTATTTCCTCGAGTTCTAATAAGAAGCAGTGATCAACGGAGTTCAATCGGGTCTGTTGTGAGATAATAACTCACAGAGAATAATGGTGGATGTGTCGTTGAATTTAGACATTAACACCGTTGGATGCCGATCATCCCAGTGGTCTAAAGGTTAGGTGTTCACGTGCGAGACCGATAGGTCGTGGATTTGGATCTCCTGAGGCGGAATCGTGAATGCGTACTGGTGAGAAGTCCCAATGTAGGACGAAACGGTCATCCAGTGCTTCGAGGTTTTACCATGGTGGTCTAGCTTTAATTGACTCATGATCTCAACTATTGAAATTACTATAACATCCACAAAAACCCCTTCTGATAAAAATCATTTCTTTACATATCATGGTTTATGAAATACAATATAGACAACTTGATTTAAATAAAAAAAGGATATTTATTTAATACTTTCGAGTTTTTTGTTTGTCATAAGAAAATTGATATTGTGATATCATGAATGACATATAACCTTCAAAATAAAATCCAAATAACATGTCAAACCCCTTAAATTTATGACAATGAACAAATAGTCCGGAAGAAAAAACTATGGATATAGATTTTATTATTTATAAAAGTTATTATCTCTTAACAATCAATGATGATTATGTTTATCCATTAAAAATAATAAAATGGTAATAGATCTGTGATATTCCAATAAGTTGAAGTTAGAATTTCTGATGTTTCGTAAAATGACATTGATTCATTCAGATCCATTTTGATTTTGAATTTTGTGCCTTAATACATATTTAATTTTGTTCTAATTTAATTTCAGCTATTTATTTATTTACTCTGAAGAGACTACTTAAATAAAGTTATAACATGTAAGATATTCTAAGTTCTACTTATTAAAATATCACAATTATATCATTATTTCATTATTAGCATTCTAACTAATGTTTGATTTATCTGAAATTGTTCAATCAACTCCCGGTAATGATACATATAACCATTAAAATAGTTCGAATCATTTAACTTTAAATTTAATTCCAGTAATAAGCCTATATCGGTTCGTATAATTTTATTGACATTTTGTCAAAATGTAATCAAACTAGTTTTTGATTCAGTTAAAATCTATACAATAGTAAATTTGTTGTTAGTAAATTGCAAGTATGCTTCACTTTCTATTCAAGAAGATTTGCAAGGAAGAACAAGTTCGGATAAACTGGAAAGTAGGATACTTCATTAAGATACAATATAAAGATTTGAGTAAATGTGCGAACTACAGAGGCATTGCACTATTGTCTGTACCAGGGAAAGTTTTTAACAAAGTGTTTCTGAACGGGATCAAAGACACAGTAGACGCCCGACTTTGGGATCAACAGGCTGAATTCCGTAAGGATCGGTTGTACACAGACCAAATTGCGACACAAATGATCATAATCGAACAATCAATTGAGTGGAACTCGTCGCTGTACATCAACTTTATTGATTATGAAAAAGCGTTTGACAGTGTAGATAGGAGAATATTATGCGAACTTCGACACTATAATGTACCTGAGAAGATCGCCAATATCTAACGGAATTCATACGACGGACTACAATGCAAGGTCTTGCACAGAGGACAGCTGACAGATGGATTGCAAGTAAGAACCGGTGTCAGACATAGCTGTCTACTATCCTCCTTCCTCTTTGTTCTGGTAGTCGATTGGATTATGATGACCTTGACATCTGAGGGGAAGCACAGAGTACAATGGACAGCCCAGAATCAATTAGAAGATTTGGACTTCGCAGATAACCTAGCCCTCCTATCCTATACACAAATGAAGACACCTGATATAGCAGCAGCCTCTGCATTAGTAGGCCTCAGTATACACAGAGGAAAAGGCAAGATCCTGAAATACAAGAGAGAGAGAACACCTACCAAATCACGCTTGACGGAGAAGCTCTGGAACAGGTGGAATCTTTCACGTACCTGTGCATCAAAATCGATAAATAAGGAGGATCTGATACAGATGTAAAGGTGAAAATTGGCAAAGCAAGGACCGCATTTTTACAATAGAAGAACATATGGAACTCAAAACAACTATCAACCAATATCAAAGTGAGAATCTGCTATACGGACACCAAGACAGTTCTACTGTCCGGAGCTGGAACGTGGAGAACTACTACGACCATCATCAAAAATTTGCAAGTATTTATAAACAGTTGTCTGCGCAAGATACTCAATATCCGTTGGCCGGATACCACCAGCAACAGCTTTCTGTGGGAGAGGACAAACCAGCTTCCAGCTGAAGAGGAAATTAAGAAAAGACGTCGAACCTGGATAGGACACATATTGAGGAAATCATCAAACTGCATCATGAGTCAAGCTCTAATTTGGAATCCTGAAAGGAAGCAAAAAAGAGGAAGATCGGAGAACATACTGCGTCGGGAAATGGAAACAGACATGAAAAGGATGAATAGCAACCGGAAAGGATTGCCCAGGATAGGGTTGAATGGAGAGTGCTGGTGGGTGACCTATGCTCCTCCACGAGGGGCAACAGTCATAAGTAAGTAAGTAAGTAAATTATTTATTATTATAGTGCATTCTACAAATAAATTGTCTAGGTAATATTTTGTAAAGAAATGTCTCATACTCTTTACAACAATACCAATTAATATGTGAATATGCGTAAATCCAGTATTTGAAATCATAAGTCAATTGAAGCTAGACCACCATGGAAAACTCTGAAGCCCTGGACGGCCGTTTCGTCCCATTGTGGGGCTCCTCAGTAATGCGCATCCACGACCACGCCTCAGGAGATTAGAACCCATGACCTATCAGTCTCGCGCGCGCTTAACGACTAGACCACTGAGTTGGTTAGCATCCAACGGTGTTAATGTCTAACTTCAACAAATCCACGGAATTGCGCCACTGTACACCATTGTCTTCAGTGAGTTGATATCTTACAACAGAGCTGGTGAACTCTACTGGTCACTGCTTGTCACTAGAACTCCAGAAAACGGTCGTCCAGTGCTTCCAGTTTTTCCATGGTGGTCTAGTTTCAATTGACTCATGATTTCAACTATTAAAATTACTAAAATCTCCAAAAAAACCCCTTCTGATAATATGCGTGAATTGTTAATATTTGAAAATAAACAAACAAACAAAATCAATTATGTAATCCTTTGTTCGTAATTGTAAAATGTTAGTTACCTTCTAGTTAAAAAGTCTGTCTGCATGTTCTATTCAAAATGAATTAAGTGTAAATGACTAATTTAATCCTTGGTTCCTTTTTTTAATCTTAAATGTAAATGAACAAATTAGAATTACAATAAATAACACTTTCATTATAGATTGTTAGATAACTTTGTATTTTACTTTAAAATATCCAAAGTTTATTTGTACCGTATATCAGTTTGTCAGTTATTTAGCTTGACTGTGTTGTTTTTCCGCGATAATAATAATAATCTCTGGAACAATAGAAGTTTTTGACTCTATTCAACTAAATATGAACTTCAGTCAGTTTAGTAGTTGGTATGTAAAATATAATTTTACTTTTTTTTTAACAACCACATATTCATCTTATGTGAAAATAATTGTTTTGTTTAAAGTTAAACGAAAAGGTTGTAATTGAAGGGTATAATGTAAATTTAAATTTAATTTTAATGAATGAAATTATGAGTCGGTTGAAGCTAGATCACCATGGAAGACCTGGAAACACTAGATGGCCATTTCGTCTTATTGTGAGACTCCTCAGCAGTATAGATGCACGGTCCCGCCTCGCGAGATTCGAACCCATGGCTTATCAGTCTTGCGCGCAAACGCTTAACTTGTAGACCACTGCGCGCACTGTTAAAGAGTCCTACAATAGGACGAAATCGCCGTTCAGTACTATAATATTCACAAAATCCCCTTCTGATAAATTCACTTGTATTACTTTATTATTCATTAATCACTGAACATTTAAAGAATCCTGTTTGCTTGAAATAGGAACTATAGCTGATTGAGGGAAAAGTGTTCTATTTTTAGATCTTTTATCATAGTTTTAGAGTATTTTATTCATGGATGATGCAAAGTATTGTATACTGTAGTTTAGTAAATTATCTGTAAATTACAAATAAACCTTGTGAGCTACATAGATATTATTTACAACTGAGTTATCTTTAAATAATACAATTTCAGTATAAGTATCGTTCATTTTTATTTTCTACACAAATTAACTCAATGTATTTCTAAATTGGATGACAATGGGAAAATATCGAAATGTATTAAATTATGTTGATGATGTAATATATAGTATTCATTAAAGCCATTAATAATAATAATCACAATTTAATAGGTTGACATGTTTGTGTCAGACCTTATCATTCATTTAACTTCAAAAGAAACCTCGTTGATTTCAAGAAGGAGAATCAACTTACCTGAGCCTAGTCCCCTTACTCTAGTTGACAATGTTTTAGTATAGACGATATGTGGAGGTTATTGAGTTACGTTGTATGCATTACAGACTGACCTCAGATGACCTCTATATACAAGGAAGCATTGAACAGCTGTTCCACCTTAGTATGGGACTCTTCAACAGAGCGGATTCACGACTGCATTGTCTATTGAACTTTGAAATTTCATGTCTAGTGGAAATAATTTATTAAGTCATTTAATATTTCATATCTTTAACTTCAGTTAATTTGCAGTTTTGTATAATCATCTACCAATACCATTGGTGTTTTATCCTAACAATGTTTTTGCAGTATTTAATTTCTTCACGCAGATAACAAGTTAAAACCATTAATTTAAAGAAGGTCAGTACTGACATTTCCAAATTAACGTAAGATTTCAAAAGTCTGTCTAGAAGTAATAATTGAAACTGTGCGATAATCTTATCGACTACTGTAAATCATCGCTATTTAAACCTGTAATTATTTCTCAGCTATTAACTTTCTTAGAAGGTATTTTGATAAACATAAGATATGTTCAAATCACAGACAAGTAAGTCTAAATATGTTAACTAATATAGTTATTGTATCTATGAGAGGTGTTATAAACGCTAATTATTCTTTGAGGTGATTTAAAGCAGAAATTCTATCCAATCCAGTACATTAAAATTTGAATGATTACGGATCAAAGAAAAGCTTTTAATAAATAGTTTAACAGACAAGTTCATTATTCTTAATCAATTTGATTCAATGGAACCTTCTATTAAATGATTCTTAATTCATATTGTTAAACTTTCTTGTGGTTAAAAAGCAAGATTACAAACTGAATTTTAAAACTTCATCGATATTTCCGTTCTATTATATTTACTTTAGATCGCAGTGTATGCCATTTGAATTCTGTTTACAGTCATATGGAGATGGTGTTTGTCAATCCCAATGTAATACCATTCAATGTGGTTATGATGGAGGAGATTGTGAAAATGAACAAAGAAACTATTATTTATCAGTCAAGTATATTTTACTTCATCTGAAAACAAATCAATCAGAATTTAAGTTGAATCGTAATCAGTATCTGGGAAATCTAGGTATAATTCTTCGGTCTATTGTTAGGATTGCAAAGGATAACACTACTAAAGAACTTTTATTAGAAGATATTCCTAGTAAAAATCAAATTAAAGTAAGTTTTCGATTGATAACTTTCTAAGAAGTAGATCAAAATATCTTAGGCTTCCTATTTCTCCCTTTATTAATAAGAAGTCAGAAATCAAAAATGTGGTAGATCGCTACTGAACAATCTTGTGGTTGATTATAAGTTAGGTCAAATTTAGCTTTAAAATCATTCAAATGTCACAGTTCAATCAATAGAATGCCGAATCTATACTACAGTAGTCATTCATACAAATTCTACTGTAGGTGAAGTTTCTATTCAATGTCATTTATTGGATCCTTTTACAAGCTGAGTTAAAAACCAGCTGTCTAAAGTAATAAAAACATTAACTTAGAAATTATCATACTCCTTTTATTTGTGGTTAATTAATATTTGATCATGAAATGATTAAATAACTAATTGAATTAAGAAGTTGATCATTTCATATTTCCTACTGGCTGTTTCTTTTCGAATGGACAAATGTTTCGTGTAATGAAGGTATGAATTTTAACGCTACTTTCTTTTATATCTAATGTCACTTACTCGAATGCAGACAGTAATAAGTGTTATAAGCCATGCAATTAAAAAAACTTTTACTGTTCTATCTTCAGGTGCTACTTGAAGTCATCAGTCAATCAAATATTAACTGCAAAACAACTGAGGGAAATATGTGTACCAACGATAGTGTTCGATTACTTCAACCAAACGAACTTAAAACTTATATTCTTGCCGCATTAAGTACAAATCAGTACAAATCACTTTTTAGTATAATCAACTTAAATTTTGTTGATTCACCAAGTCACTCACATTTTAAAGCACCATGGGAATTAGAATCTTCAACTGATACAGGAATATCAAAAGAAGCTATTGGATTATACGTTTGTATATGCATTTTAGCTGGAAGTAAGTTAAAGTTGGTTTATAATACAAGTTTAAGTTTGTTAAGACTAACTTTAAAATTCTCATACGTTTTCTAAAGAAGATGGGGAAGCTATATTACCTCTCTTTAAACTTTATAAAATCTTAATGTAACCACTACATGATTAAAAAATTTCTAATAATAATTATTCATGTATTTGAAGTTTTAACCTAGAACAAACTATTTGTTTAAGTCTTCCTAGTATTATTCTTCCATCATTTGGTAAATAAAGAAGGAACGAATTGAGCGAAGAAACTTCTTTTCAATTAGTTTTTCATCATGGCTCTACACCAATATAAATATATATGATTTACAATAATGAAATAATACTCATCGAGTGGTGGATACGTTACGTAATAATTACATAATGACATTTAAATTAACATTGAGTAATTAGAAGAAAGAGGATTATTAATATTCAAAGTGATCAAGAAGTTGCTACGTTGCGTAATGTAAGAAACAAAGAAGGAACAGAATTTTAACGGATGGTCAATAGGATGGTAGTTACGTAAGAATCAAGAGATGAATGTTGAGAAGTCATTAAGTTCAAAAGTAACAGAAACAAAATTACAAAAGTTTATAAAAATTAGTTCTTTTGAAGGAAATCTTAAACTGATGGCCAGGGCAGGGAAACTAGTTGTACGAATCTCTTTTGAATGCAAAGGTCAGGTTTGTGAACATGGATTGCGATGGCTTCCGCAATGTGCAAGAGGCGCACTCGTAAACCATGTGGCAAATTAGATGGGATATTGTAGATAACCTTAAAAGCTTTATTCAATTCGACTTGATGACCTGTGTCAACCAAGTGAGAGAGAATAGAAGTTTTAATCACTTTTACCTGTCCTTTGTTTAACCACGACGGATGATCATTTTCTGTTCATCTAGTTCGTAATAAGAACTATTTCTTAATTGATTAGATCATTTGAACTACTTAAGTAAATAGAATACTTGCTGAAGTCCTGCTCGGTAAACTTAATTCCTATCTTGTAGTTTATCTGGCATTAACTATCAGCGGTAATATTTTCAAAATAATGCTAGTTTTATTTACCATATGTTACTTACTTGTAAAGAAACTTCTGACTAGTTCATTACATTTATTTTCTTAACGATTGAGTCATTGTATTTATTTATACGAATACTTAAAGTAACTAATTTTTGTGTCTATAAAATTTGAATATCTAAGTGGCTTATTGCTATTAATATGAAGCTTTTTGTTTGTTAATATAAATAAACAATATAGATTTACAACACCATAGAAATCAACTTTACCTTGAGCACATGAACTTGCTCAACTATACTGGTCGAAGAGACATTATCATACAGCGGTATATGTAAACATATATAAGATGTTTTATGCCACATAAATAACTAGTTTGCTTGTTTTAAGTTTCCTGATTGTTCATTGCAGCAACTGTTGCTGGTTATCAATTTCAAAGATTGCTGCAACATGTATAATAACATTTCTGGAACTTTGATTGTGTATTTTGTTGAGTTGACCTCACATTTGAACATACCGAATAAATCTAAAAAGGTATAGATGGTCATTGGTGTATCCAATTTTTCAAAACAGGAACAATGTATCATGTTGAATATATGCTTCAGTTGGTGATGACATCTCACACTTTATTTAACTAGCTTATTTGGAAATCATGACCAAATAACATCGTATATGGTATTATCTAGAAGTCAATCTCAGAATGTTTGTTTAACTAAACTTATGCTGTAATCGACAATCGAAGTTTTTTCATTGAGATCATAAACCGATCAATGTTAGGCGATCACTAAAGGCATGAAGGCACTGGATGACCATGTCATCTTTGTATGGGACTCTTCAGTACACGACCGCTTAGCTGGAATCCACTGGTGTTAATGACTAACTTCAACCAATCCACGAGATTTTGCGACCGTTTCGCATTGACTTCGGAGATTAACTGTCTCACATTCAACACGATTGAACTCCACTGGTCACGGCTTCTCACTAGCACACCAATAATTGCCTCTGGAAACTAGAGACTAGTGAGCTCATGATAATTATCAGTATAGGATTGTGGAGATTGTTGAGTTTTCATTGAAACTACGAACACATCAAAGTTAGATCACTATAGAAATGGTGGTTGAAGTTAAGCATTAAAACCGTCGCATCTCGGCTCATTAGTCTATAGGTTAAGCGTTCTCGCGCGAGATCGAAGGTCCTGGGTTCGAGTCCAGAGAGTGGGATCGTTCCTGCAGTGCTCATGAGTCACATACTAGGATAGAACAGCCGTCCAATCCATTAAAGTCTTTAATCATGGTCTTTCATTGATCGGTTCATGATCTCAATAAAAACTCAACAATCTCAATAACCCAATACTGATATTGAAGATGCCAGTAAACTTGGATTGAATAATAAATGTCTCAAAGCTGAAAAGATCGGAATGTAGATAGCGTTTTCCAATATAACAGTGCCGAACTGTGCAAAATAAAGCTAAACGAAATTGTCGGTTAACATTCCCTGTTTTTATAAAGCGTTTCATCTTTTAAGTATATTTAATACATACGTGTTTCTTCAGTTATTTGAGTTCACGAAAATGTTTATTCAAGTAGAGCTTATTCCACAGTATTTTCATCTTCCTTCTAGTTTATTTCAATATTCGCACCAATTACAAAATCGGAAAGCAGTTCTAAATATGTTTCGCATATAAATTAATAAGTTGAGATACCTGTGAATCTAAATATATTTCTTTTCTATTCAATTTATTCAAGATTATATGAGTATATGACATTTTCTCGTCAAATAAACCAAATAGGTGGAAATTAATAATCACTGATTAGTTTTTAGATGCATTTTACAAATAAACCTAGGAACTTATGTTTGGCTTAATTTATAACTAAAACAGATGTTTTCAACAATTATGTTGTTGCTAATTAGGATTACCTATATACACTCAGTAAACAAAACTCACCTTTGATGTTACATGACTGAATATGATCGGTATAAAACACTGAACCTAAGTTTTATGCATGTTGAGAGTGATTACCCAGAACTCTTAATGGAAAAGAGATTCCTTGTTGGATTCGAAACTGCGTCACCTAGCTTTATAGTCAAGAACTTTAACATTTCGCTATTTAAGATTCAGCTTAACTCTTGTGAGGGTGAGATATCTACATTGATTGATCAGGTACAGGTAGAAGGGATTAATTAATTACTTCAAAATCAGGGTATCCCTTACTGAAGTTTAGGTTTATAAGTTTGGGCCTAAATACATTCAACTATCAAATATTCAGTCATAGTAAACATGATATTGAGTCACTTAAACTAATTACTACATTTTAATCGGATCAATGGAATTTGATCCAATCTAAGAACTAGATAAACATGGCATTAATTACTAATCCGTGATCAATCAATGTATAAATCATTTTTATTTTAGTTTGCATCTTTGATTCATTTATAAATAGATGTTAGTTGTAAATTATGCAAATAATTCATTGTATTGAATAGCATAATATAATTTTATAAGGCAATAAGTAAAGACATACTTTAAACAATATGTAATCCGTTGTAATTTTTTTTGTTTGACCTCTGATATACTTTAGATAATATTCGACAGTAGTAACACGATAACAACTATGAAAGATCAGTAACAGATCAGTAAATACATTCAGACGCATTAGATCATTTGAATGTTTTACATAATGTATCTTTATGGTGTTTAGCAAAAAAAAATATGAACATAAACAATGAATGAATTAATTAGATAATATGACATTAGTTCCTTTCCAGACAATACTTCTTACTTATATGAATAAGAAATAGTTGTGAAGATCTTTATGCTTAAGTTAACACATATAACACATAGTTGTTATAGGTTTTTGTTAGATAATCAAAGGTTGATAAATAACGAGCGAATAATGAAAGTATAACGGTACTTTGATCATTTGAGTTATTCATGGAAGAGTGAAAATATTTATTGTTTAGTTCTATTTAATAAAGACATCGATTTGTAAAAAAAGTTAATAGAAACCCTACGGAATTTATTTAATAGAAATAACGATTAATTTAACTAAAGGGAATCTGTTTTTAATTGAGATCATGAACCGATTAATTTTAGACCACCATTGAGAACATGGGAGCAATGGACGGCCAATTTGTCCTATTGTGGGACTCCTCAGCAGTGCATATCCACGATCTTACTCGCGGGATTAGAACTCAAGGGCCTAAGTTTCAGGCGCGAACGCCTAACCTACTGGACCACTGAGCCGGCATCCAATAGTGTTAATGTCTAACCTGAACCAAACCACGAAATTGCGCGACCACCTTCCATGGTACTGAGGTAGATACCTGCTCCTACCCGACACGGATTAGCTCCACTGGTCACGGCTTCTCAATAGAACCCCGAGAATTTTCTCACGAAGCTAGTCATTAGTGAGCTTATGGTAATGTTTATCGTAGTCTAACATTGATGTGTTCATAATCTCAATAAAAACTGAACAACCTCCACAACGCTATACTGATAATGGCTGGAGTGTAACAGCAGCGCCCCTGAAGCTAGTCTTTGTTGTCCAACTTGAGTCTAATGTGTTTCATTGATTCCAAGCACCTTCAGATTGTATCTCTTCATTTCTACCGAAACTCGGATGACTCTCACAATCTCTCACATTGTACGAACATTCCATCTACTTAAATTAATGTTTGCTCTGGTTGTCAGAAGGGGCACCAAATTTGTGACTTCCGAAGGAACTCGGATTTCATTATGAGATGTCATAAGTCTTTTAAATGAAGACTTAACTCGTAAGACAGATTTTAAATGGTTTGAATTATTTTTTCTGGTTAGCATTTTTTTAGCGAGCTGGTTTTCTACGGGATGGGATTGCTAACCTCATACCTAACTCTCTTCCTTTATTCGGGCTTGGGACCGGCAGTAGCCCCAGATGGGCTCCAGGTGGAGTTACATCGATAGTTACTTATTTTTAATTTATGATGATTTAAAATGTTATAATATATGAATGTACCACTGAATTAATATGTTTCAGAATTCACTATATAACTACCTAAAGTTTTCTATGGTGTAGTCAACGAGTGATTGAACACGATAAATTACAATTATTGTTGAATATCTTTTTTATTCTCTTTTACTATCTAATTACAGAATCTGTGGTTCAGGTATACCACTGACTAATAATGTTGAACAATATCCTTTTGGCACACAAATGATTAAACAGAATATATATTTCAACTACTTAAAGTTTCAATGTTGTTCCTTACAACTGTTGATACTCAGTTATTGAAAACTATTCATCATAAGCAAAATTGTAAGATAAAAGTAATATGAATGAAAAGAGCAGGAACAAAGATTCTAGCAGAATAGCATGAATTCATCTCTAACTTTTGAATTTAAAATTACAATTACATACTGGGTTTAAGTTACATGAAAGGGTTTGGTTGGAAGTTTTACTGAAGACATTTTCGTATAATATAGTATAATATGAACGAATTTTCAATTAATATAGCTGAATTATGGAATGAGAACATTAATCTTTCTCTGGTTACTTTTTGTTTTTCAGTAATTATTATATTAATTTTATTCTTGGTATTTCAACATGATAATAACTGGCGAAAACCATTGAAACGTGTAAAAACGAAAGGTATCTGGTGTCCACCTGTATCATCGATTTATTCTAAACCTAATCAAATGGATTTATTAGGACAACAATCTTCAGTTTATTTCACAGGATTTAAATCAGTTGTAGGAGTTACAGAACCACCTTTAACAACAATGACAATAAATGAATCAAAATATTTTGACAATAAATTTAAACAAACTCCATCAGCTTCATCATTTTTCCAAGATTACTTGAATTCTTCAACTGCTAATGAGAAGGATACATTTCCTTTGTCAAATGTCCCAAAGTACAATCATGAAGAAATGATTACTGGATTCCTCTCAGATAAAGTGAGTGTTATTCCTGAAGTTTGTACTTAATTAAAGCCATGTATGAGAATCTATCAAATATCGTACATTAAAATAATATATAGTATGTAAAGTTGGTCCTCTTTTGTCAACCAGTACTTGTAACCATCTGCATCACAAATATTAATAACTAATAATAATATTCCTTGAAATACAATTATTAAGATTACAAACCGACCTAAGTAAGACAACCGTTAAAGTATTCATCATTTATGATCGTAATCATATTTAATAAACACCTAAAAGCCTCATTCTGTCAAAAATTACCTTTAATCGTCAAACCGAAAGCAGTAAACACTGCTTAGACGTATCAAATTGACTCTCAAAGTTTAATTTTTGTATGAACTTACTTTTTTTACTAAAAGTAAAGACAATATATTTGAATGATGAAGTTTTTCATCATTATTAAATGAATAAGTATGGAGCCTTGAATGCTAATAATCACAAGGCATCATTTGCTTAGTTTTACGCATACATTACCATCTACTTACAAAACATTAGTAGTTAAGTGATCACTGTTAGCATCAAGTTTGTCCAATATATACCATCTTTGTGAAGATATTTACAACTAAATATGATTTATCATTTATATTTATGATATTCCAAGTTCATCCTAAATTTAGTATGGTGCATATTACATTAGTTTTCACCATTTATACTTTTGATTTCATTTAAATGCCAACTTGGAATAGATGGATAATTGTCTTTCTTATTATTTGTCTCATTCTTAATGCAAATGTTTTCTGTTAATTATTTATTCTAAAATACTATTTCGTATGCAGTTGTATGTTTTAAATGAACTACACAACAAAATACCATCCAGTTAACAAAATGTAATGTTCGAATGTGCACTGCTGAGGAGTCTCATACTAGGACGAAACGGCCGTCCAGTGCTTCCAGGTTTTCCATGGTGGTCTAGCTTCAATTGACTTATGATTTCAACCATTGAAATTTGTAAAAATCTCCACAAAACCCTTCTGATAAAGATGTAATTATTAAAATCAGAGTATTATTATACAATTGTAATAAAGGAAAACACAGATGAGGACAACTGAACATATTTAGCACAAAACTACTAAGTTACTTGATAAAGTATAAAAACCGTACTCCAATACTTCATTTGCAAAACGTTCATTAATTGTCTTAGACTTTATCGTTCATGCATTTCCATACCAATTACTTTCTTTTCCCGTTCTTCCCTCCTCAGTCTTTCAGCCTTCGACTGCCAGACATTCTATTCCAGACTAGCGTTATATACTTCTTATGCGTCATAAGTAGCACACATCACAATCGTCCCCCTATTAATAAGCTGTTTTCACTGTCTTTCCGATCACTGTACCACTGTCTTCTTTGATGCTGTTCGTGACTCGTACTCATGATGCTCTTGAAACAATCTTTGCGGTTGACTGGCATTTACGCACTTCTGCTTGTGTTCTCCCCGGATCGTGTAAATCGAGCCACATCTATCCATGTCATTGTATGGTCCTTCTCATTTCGGGATCAGCTTTCCTGACTCTGGTCCCACTGCCATGTTCCCTTTTCATTCTCTACACTTTACCAGGCTCCCCACTGCAAAAGGCTTCCACGTTCTTCTCTACTGTTCTACCTTCTTTGTGTCTGTTATTTATTTCTTTTCCATGTTTCTAATTGCTTCCCTCTTCTCTTTTGTTAGTCTTGTTGTTGTCCACTTCTGTTATTGTGAACAGGTTTATTATGCATTGGAAGTCGTGGTTGTCAACCATACATAAACAGGAATGGTGACTTCTTGGTTGTCCCTTGTATGGGGACACGATGCGCCAGCAAAATCAATGGTAACTCTTTCTCCCGATTTCCTCCTTTAGAGGCTAACCAGTTCTTTAACTTTTGGTTGTTTCTTTCTGTAAGCCCGTTCCTCTGAGGGTGCTACGGTGTAGTTCCCATCCTCTTGATGTCAAACTGATTTAGATAGGCTTTAAATTTGTTACTTTCAAAACAGGGACCTTCGTCGGTGAATATCATCTTCGGTGTTCCGTTACACGCCACAATGTGCCGGATTACTACTTCGGTCACTGTTTTTGCTCGCTGGTTTACCCAACGTGTAGCATTTTCCGTCACCACTACCAGGTACTGGTTACCTTTCGCCGTCTGCTGAAAAACTCCCACCACATCCACGACCGTAGATCACCGACTGCGGTTGTTGAGACTGACTGTAATGGAAGTTGTGTGTATCGATCACCTATTATTAGTTGGCACGCACCACACAATAATCTGATACTAAATTGTGTAAATTTTAGTGTGTCAGTAATCGAATGACTAAATTCTGTTGATAGTAAAACACAATAATATCGATAAAATAGTGTGTAACGTTTAAAAATGTGTGAATAAATGTAAAAGTAACCGTAATAGCAACTATGATTCTACAGTTCAATCTTTATTTTATAATTAAAACAACGGTATCCTAGCAGATATTTAATAACATGATGGGAATTGAATATATGCTTGATTTTCGTGTAATGATGCATACATAAGCTTCGGTTGTTTTCATTAGCTTTTAGTCCTCAATTGAATACAGATCAAGAATATCAAACCTAAAATATCAGTGTTAGCCAATAGGTTAATATTCATCAATATAGATGAAGCAGTTAAAACCAAAGTGATTAAGGCGATACACTAATATCTTACGGATAAATTCAGGGTGAAAACTATAAAAGTTACGGGGAAGAAAGATTTGTTAACGATAAGTGGATTGATAAATTATGTTAGTACAAAAGAAAAGGGTGAATTTAGTGCATTTTACATTTAGAAAAATTATTTTTGTTTCGACGGGAACGTGAATGTAGTCGTTTGATATACATGCTTTTCTTTTAGTTAGATGTTCCAAACAATTTCAAATTTAAATGTAACTCTGAATTCGAGTTCACCTTACTGGTAGATTGCCATAACAAAATATCCACTCGTTACGTTCATATTAGAAAAAATCTGTTATTGTCACTTTGATATCGAAGGAAAATTTAAATAAGATATGAGAAAAAGTATGTTTTAAAAGTTAGCTACTGAATTCTTTGTTAGTAGTATGAGACTATAAGACACAATATTGATTTCGGGAATAAGAAGTTACTTGTTGGCAGATTGAAATTATTGTTCGAGCCACTACTACTGAATACCAAACCGTCTGTAACACGAAATTTAAATTGTTTGTTCGAGAAAATTGAATGGTTATAGAGTATGTTTAGTTAGGTAATATGATAACTGTCAACAAATTAGATTTTAATAGTTGACTTCATGAGTCGATTGAAGATAGACCACCATGCATAACCTGGAAGCATTGGGACTCCTCAGCAGTGCGCATCTGATCTACCCAGTATTCCCAGGTATATATGATTGTTTAGCCCCAAAACATATTTAGATAGTTTAAAACTGACATTATGAATGAATTCCTCAATGTTTATACTTTACGTAGGTTCCTGGAACAGATGACTATTCGCCAAATTGCAAAAAGAAACGTTTTACTCAAGTAAGTTGATTGTTTAAATTCTATGAAAAATTCGTTTTTCTTATCTTGCAGGAGAATTCTAGAAATTTTAAATATTGGATTATTTATTCTGCTGGTTGTCTTAGTTCTATAATTTTGTTATCATAATGATAAAGACTATTCTATACAAAAGAGACTTATCTAAATTACAACACAGTTCTGAATGTTTATATGACACACAAGAGATTACTAAAAAATGTATATGAGTAATACAAAATCACTTGCTGCGAAATGTATTCAAATAAGTGTTAACGATATATTATTCATTAAGTTGTGTAGTTCAGTGACGAAACACTTATTATGATCTTCATCAATGTTGAGAATATTTGTTTAACTCCTTTTCTCCTCAAAACTGTTAGGTACTTAACGTAAATGACTGATCATTCGAACACATTAGGCTGTTGATCAAATGTATGATCACTAGTACGTTATTCATCAGTCTTATGCAATTTATTACGACTAAAGAATGTTAATTTTAAAACTTGGCAACAACGGTTAAAATAATATTTTCTTCATTCACATCCAAATAAAGTAATTTGCAATCAGCCGAACAATTTACTGTTTTCCCAAACATAAAAATGGAATATAAAGTAGATTTTATCTATCCCTACTGTGGTCTATGGCCAATCATTTATCATAACAGTCTCGAAGTACCGATCTACCTGAAAAATTTGGAAAAATCGTGTAATACCTCGTTTACATTCAGAAGATGAGTTTCGAAAAGCATTGCTTTTTTTTAAGAACACCTATAAAAGAATTTATCGTTTATCCTGGGAACGACTCATTGAAAGACGTGAATTTTGGTAACACCGAACTTCAGTTAGTTCGTCCGTTATCTTGAATAAGTTTTTGAATAAATATTCGCGATGAAAAAAATGATCATGTGAAAACGGTTGCCTACCTGTAAAAGCATCTATAAACTAAGTGTTTTTTAAATGTCTGGTATTCAAAATTAGTTTTTGGTTAAACGAGGTTGACTACGAGAGGAAATTTTATAGGTAGACTCATGATTATGGTCATGATTCAGTAAGATTCGAAACATCTTCCAAATTACGTGGATAAATTATATATATATATATATATATATATATATATATATATACAGGGCTTCTGTATTCTGATTGTAATCAAAGTGATTTAGTTTAGAAAGACAACGACAGCTTCAATAATCAATCACTCAGAACAGAGAATGCAGCCATACGAAAATGTATATTTGAATACATTCAGTGAAATACAGTCCGTTTGCCAGATATTTATATCTATAGAGTTTTCATATGATATTAATCCGTAAGCTTCAATAAATATTTTGTATTGGATCTTGTTAATGGAATGTAAATGAAGTATCATTTTACTTTTTTATTTTTTCATTGTTTACAAATGCTAAAACAGAATGAAATGATATCAGATATGTTACCTAATAGTGCAAATTTGTTTATTGCTCCCAAGTATTTGGGAAATTTATTCAATGAAGATACAGGAAACTTTCAGCCTTTCGGAGAAGAGGAAAAGCACAAACAAGGCAAGCGTAAATTTGATTTGGAAGACAAATATGATTCACTTTTGCCTCAGGAAAATTTAAAAACCACTATTAATGAAAGTTTAAATTTAGATAGTACTTATAACAAGAAAGAGAAGATAAAGGCCATGGGATCTGATAACAAAGAAGTTTTTAAAATAATTTCATCATTAGATGGTCTACACCCATGTAATGTCACTCAGAGAAGTCAAATTGAACAAGTTTTAGATGATAATAATGATCAAAATAAAGGTGTAGAAATGTCATCAAACAATCATAGTACTGAAGATTATTTGGATGATGATCTATCAAAGAACGTTGTTGGTGATCAAAGTCTCCTACATTAGCAGCTCATATGAATGTAGGACATGACATAATTAATAAAATCTTTCATAATGAACATAATCAAAGACCTCTTGGTACTTTATATGTTGATTCATTTGGCAGAACAGCTTTGACTGGAGCGGCTGCTGCTAATTCTTTAGAATCAGTCAAGTCGTTATACCAGCTTGAAAAAGAGGCTCTACTAAATAAAAAATCAGTAAAATCTGTCAAGTCACATCAAATTGCTGCACCAAAACCAACATGTCGTTCAAGAAGACGTTATCAAGTTTATGAATCTCGACAGTGTTCACCTATAATTGTTGCTATTCAAGCAGGGAATGATGAAGTAGTAAAGTGTTTATTAGACGAAGGTTGTCCTTACAACACTGTTGACCAGTATGGTCGTAACGTTGTACATTGGGCGGCAGTAACTAATTCTGTTAAAATATTAGCTCATTTAGCACAGTGTAAAGGTTTTGCTAGATTAATGAATATGAAGGACGACTGGGATAGAACACCTATCATGTTAGCTATACGTGAAGGTTGTCAGGAAGCTGTTGAGTTCCTACTAGACAAACAAGCCAAAGTTGAAATCATTGACTGTATGGAGAATGATTGTTTATCACTATGTATAGAAAAAGGTTATAAAAGAATACATGAAATACTTATAAATTATATCAGATCAAGAAACTCAGATACAAAGTCGCTAACACGTGATAAGACAGTGAATGTTTTTAAAGAGAATCCAGACGTAAGTAAACAAGAACTGTTACCGATGTTACAATCTACACCATCTATGGTACCGGTTACGACAGTGATGACAACTACGCCAGTACGACATTCAGCAGAGAACATTTGTCGTATGAATGAATTTGACTGGGTAAGTTTAAGTGATGATCAAGTTTCAGAAGACTATAGTGAGTGTGATCAATTCACAGAAGATATGACTAAAGATTTTAATTGATGTGAAAGTGGTCACTACTGACGTATAATATTTACCCTAATTCACACATTTCTAATCATATGTTACATACATCATACGTATATTGTGAATTTATTATATTTGTTCAGCTATGTATGTATAAAACTGTATATAGGGGTTAATGTATTGAATGACGTGAAAGTATTTTATTATTATGAATTACTTATGTACTTGTTTCTTACCAACCAACTATCTAAGTTAAAATAACTTTCCTTGTACAATACATTTATTTTTTATGAATAAATCACATTCAATATCTTCTATTACTTCTGCCACAGTGGATTCTTATGATTATCAAATATACAAGGATCATGACCAAAGCTTCAAAAAGGATACAGTAACGCTTGGAAGTATACAATATAAACTAGACGTCAGTAGGCTTATACTTGGAAGTAGGATGTCTGTAACCTTGTAAAATTAGATCGAAATGTTTATCGTATTCGGTGGAATAGGTCGCTTCACTGTCCAAACTCAAAATGATGAAAATACTTTTCATCCACAATAACGTAATTTTTTACAGCTCAGCAGGAACAAAAACACGTTGAACTTTCCTATGGGTACAGCTAAGGATGTCGGTTTAATTTGTTGAAAATGATCAATGAAGTAGAGGTTTATTGCTAAATGATTCCGTCGATAGACTAGTATCACAGAAAGTAGCTAGTAAAACACTTTTAATACATTTTGTAATGAACATAATCCTAAACATTCTTATCATACATAGTTGACCTAATGTTATGATTACTGTATTGAGTGAATTGCTTAGTATAGAACGCAATATGCAATATATTAAATTGAAACTATGAAACTTGCGTCTGAAATTTAAAATAAACCTACCTCATACATAAAAATTATATGGCACATGTAAATTTTAAGTGAATACCTTGTAAACAATTATTTATCCAATTTATTCGTGTTCATTTGGCAACATGGTCAACAGAGTCCCGTCAACACTAAACATTAAAAATATAGGGGATTTGTTACTACCCAGTGCCCAAACGATGTTATTTTAACTCTTCAACTTCCCCGCTTTCTGATCAGTTTACTTACAATGATCGAATATTTGATATTATATGTTAGGATCTGTTTTGTAACCTCTAATTCTTGCTCGCTCTTTATGGGTATCATACCATGCTACTTACTAAAATTTAGTAGCTTATGTATTGTCAATCATTTTGCAATGAACAGCTTAAAACACTTTTAAATTACAATACACTAATATTCCCAAATGTTTTTATGTTACTTTGTCATTGATTCCGTTATATTATCGTAATTTTACTTCCTCATTTATCTTCGCAGTTTTTCTTCATCATACGTATTTTTCATTGTGAAGTTATTTATTTGAAACAACTTCCATATTTAATGTAGCGTGCTCTCAGTTCAATATTGTTGACTGCCACAGTTCTGCACTGTTATTTAGCTTATCGATACATTGTTTGGTGAATTGTAATAATAAGAACTTGTGAACCCCGTTGGTGTCTCAAGATTTAAGATTCGTGATTTCCATTGTTTATATTATTACTTTCTGTAATGGTATCCTATGGGATTTTAAGCGACACTCAATTAATTGCAAAGTTGAGATATAATTGATTCCTTCATTATGGATACATCTTTCTCTGTCCCAGCATGTGAAGAGTTGAATTTCCTTAGTACATTCAGAGATCGTAAACAGTATAAAAAGTATTAAAGTAAATTAACTTTAAGTCATGATTTCTAGCTTGAATATACACGATCAGGGGCGAGACTATAATTTCTGGACGTGCCAATCAGAAGCGTTTGAGGGATCTCAAGGTCATTGCGCTAATTTCAGTACCTGATGTTCACGTACTATCGGTGTACGGCGGATTTTAGAGAGGACGTGATAATTGAGCGGCTACAACAACTGGGATTACTAAGAAGATCCTGTATTTGTGACTGCGGTAATTAAATGACTACTGTACCTTGTTCAAACTACCGTGATGAGAATGTCAGCCGATGTTATTTATGTTGGAGTAAAAAGTCTGCTAGAACAGGGATTTTCTTTACTCGATCTCGATTGAGACTAAGGCGAACCATGATAATTGTTGCGGATCGAATAATAAAAGCACCAGTAACACTGGCTGCAACATTTGCAGACGTTACTGAAAATTCTGTTGTTCAGTGGTATAAGTATTGTAGAGATATATGCGCAATTAAAATGACAAGCTTGCACAAGTCGTCTGGAGGAGTTGGGCGAATCATTGAGATGGACGAAACAGTAGTTAGAAGGCGAAAATTTAACAGAAGACGAAGTATTTAAGAAGACTGGGTAAGTAGCGCTTCCATAAATATATCTCATAGGTCCTTGGAAGTTAAAACAGGTCAACCCAAAAGAGACATTTCTAACAGGTCATAAACCGACATACAACGATAATAATCCGAGTTATACAGGAATATGTACAGCCAGTCATTACAATATATACAGATGGTTGGAGAGCGTATAGATGCCTGTATAGACTTAGTTATATGCATCATGTCTCTCCGAGATTTCAGTAAGTTAGTAATTTCATAACTTCTAAAAGAATGACATATATTATAATTAGTTATCTTCTTATTATATATTGCCAGCTAACTAGTTATCTATGAGATTCGCTTAACAATCTTTATTTTTGTTGTAAATAAGTTAATAATTGTTTATTTCCGGTCTTTATTAAACCTGTTTTTGATTTTAATAAATATGGTTTGTAGAACTACAATTTACTTTATAACAACTTAATTAATAACAAAAACAACCTTTAACTGTAACATATCTCAATAGAAGTGTTTTATTTAGTTCTCTGCATAAGTATACAAGTTATTATTATTATTGTTGTGATTAGTATTAATGGCTTTATTCAGTATTATATTTTTGGCACAATATAAAATTCTCAATACAAAGTATTTCAACAAGTTTCCTGTTCTTATTTCTTGATCGACCCTTGCGAGAAACATTGAGTGATCGCCAATTCGATGTTAGCAGTTGAGAAATCGACATTTGATTTATGTATATTCTTTTCGATACATATTCCCAATGACAAACAATGTCGCTGATTGGGCTCTTTTGCAACTTATAGAATGAAATATCGTGAATTTATTACACAATGGATTGTGTTACTGAGTTACTGATTAATTATCTAGTGTATTAATTTAAGTTTACTTTAACAGTATTTATAAACTGTTTAATTTGATAATTTGAAACAATGATTAATTCATAAAGGTTCTATAGACAGACTGTTTACAACAGAAAGTTTGTGTTAATGAAAAGAAAAGAACATAATTAATCAAAACATGAAGATAAATACAATAAATTCTACTGACAGGTTAAACTTTCAAAACTTAGCTATTATCTATAATTGTTATGGTGGGATATTGAAGAGATTATTAAAAGTTAGATATGTGTATGCTGTGCGCATTGCCTTAATTCACAAGCATTATACGCAAAGATGGATAGTGACTAGCAGTGGAATCTAGGGCACGCGTTTTGTCCTATTTGGGACTCGTCAGCTGGATGTACCTGCATCTGAGTTGATGTTGAGTCCAGGACTCGAAACCAGTGTCGTTCGCTTCAAACACCATCACATTATCCACTTAGCTACTGGGTTTTGATAGCCACTTGCTTGTGCAACGGGTTGAACTTTAAATTCATTTTGTATTGTTTGTTTATACATCTACCAATAATCATTACCCATCTTTGCTTATCCATGACTTGTTTACGTCGAATAAGTTCAGGTTATTATTTTACTGATCATAATCATGAAATATTAAATAAAAGACGATTTTAAGTAATTCATGTGTTGTATGAGATAATCTTCTGGATATTGAAGATTTTTCACAGGACTGTCAGTCAACAAAACCATACAGACAGCAAATCTCATTGATCGAAAATTCGACACAGAGTATTTATTTTATTTTCAAGAACTTGAAGTGTTTTAGTATTAAGTAGTTTGTAGTGGCTTAGCTTCGTTAATCAATCACCTTGATAGCCATTATTATATCAATCTCATGGTGTTTAAATCAAGAGGCAATAAGAAGCGGAAACTACAGTTTATTAGCGGATAGCACAGACAACAAAGTTAGAAGCACATCGAGCGAATACAAAGCAGAGAAAAGAATATATGTTTGCGAGTGAGTACAGAGGTAAATCTATAGTCAGATCGAATAAAGTGCAGCTAGACAACGCAAAGGCTAATAATAAGAATCGAGTACATATATACATGGAAAAGAGAATGATTCATCGAGCGATATTTTAGTTATCAACATTTTAGCTAGAGAGAGATATGTGCGTAGGCTGTCGTTTGATCAAGCGTACACCTTTATACAGACAAGATAATGATTATAATAGTACAAATAAATATGCGAATTGTTACTATTCGAGTAACATTGTCTGTTAAGTGAGTTAATAAAAGGACTTGACAAAATTTAACCATAGTCGATGTTGATTGTACGAGAGTTGCTATAATTTAACTGACTGGAGAAATACACTTTGATTCTTATGATTAATAAAACAATATAATTTTCATTGTCTTTATCAAAAGGATAGTAACAAAGATAATTTTCACACATAAAAGACTATTAATTCATTTAACTAATCTTTTCTCACTAGTAGATTTCATCTGTACTTCCTGGATATTTGAAAAAAGCAGTTAAACATAGTTTATTTTTGATTTGGTATCAACCAGACTCATATAATTATTGACATTAAATTAAGTTGTGAGCATTGCTGAGGAGTCCCATACTGGGACGAAATACTTGTCCAGTGCTTTCAGGTTTTCCAATTGAATCATGAATTCAACTATTAAATTCATGAATAATTAAAAATGGTTGTTTATGTTTTCAGTTTCCTACTATATATTTTATTCATATCACCGTTGATTTGAAAATAGTCAGTACAAATTGCAGTATTGTAATTGTATACCATTATACTAATCTACGGAAAATCTACTCCTGTTGAAGGCTTAATGAAGTCGAATTAAAAGGAATCAAACTAT